AATCTTTACGGGAGCGAAAGACTTACTTTTCTCCCATGGAATGGCTTGTAGTTTTGAACTGCCAACCTTAAGGCTAGCAGCCTGATTCGTAACCACTACCAGAGCTCCTAAAAAAAGTACAAGTAAGTGTTCTCAAACATCCTGCCCAAGGTGGGAGAAGCAAAGTCACTGAGCCCAGGACTGCTCCTGGTTGCTGCAGGAGCAAGGAGGAAGCTACAAGGTCCTAGTGGCAGAGGAACAAGAGGCACAAAGGGCTCCAGGCTCAAGGAGTGCCCTGACTAGTGCATTTCCAGTATCTCCTTATGAACCGTGGGTGACTTACTCACTTTTAACATCTTCTGGTGTCCTCCTATCCACTTCCTCCTGTCTAGTTGTGGACATCACTGAGTGTCCCACTAGACGGCATAGAATGCCATCATTTGTGGTATGAAGAGAAAAGAGTTCTTTCGTCTCACCATCAGATCCACTGCTTTTTGTCTACCCTGTAGTAAGTTTACTGACTGTAACTATTACTTAGAAATCAGGGCTATGTTTGCCCTATTCCCCTACAGGAGTGAGGACCCGTTCACTCAGACAGATGAGGGTACTTTCCAGAGAGCAAATTCACAGATTTTCCTTTCCTCCATTAACTCCTTTACTACTCATCTCACACCCCTGGAGAGAGGTATCTTCAAGCTCCTTACAAAGGTTCAAGAGGTTCCTTAGTCAAAACCAGTGAGACACTGACTCTGTTGCAAGAGTAACTAGACTCTTTGCTAGAGCCTTGAAGCTCTCACAGTGGCTAAAAGAGGAGCCTGACTGTATCTCAAGGAACCATGCTGTTTTTATGTAAATCAGTCAGGGCAAGTTCAAGACAACATCAATAGTATTCTGGAATCTGTCCCCCAAATAAAAAATAGTAGCCCATCATTGAGATTGTCCTCATTGCCCTCATAATTACTCTCTCTCTTCCTTCCATTAATTGTGTCAACAGTTATTTATGTGATTACTTTGGCTTTGGGTTTGGTTTTATTAAACTTTTAGTCCGATTTGTGTCTTCTCTTCCCCAGGCCATTACAATTCAAGTCCTGTACAACCAACAGGAATATACTGGCCTTCCAACATCACTGGACCCTTTGGATGAGGCCAGAACTGGATAGCCAACTCTTGCTCCCAGGGAATAAGAACCCCAGCATATAGGGAGAGTGAAGAGGGAAGAGTTGGAACTTCAACTACTCAGCACCCCAAATCAGCAAGAAGCAGCTTGGCTTCCCCTTCTCTCTTCATGGGGGAAATAAACAGGGAAAGTTTAGGTCCTCTGGGCCTTAGGTCTCTCTTACCCTGGCTTCATATCCACCCTTTGCCCTGAGTCCTCTCCTACCAGAAAGGGATCAAGAAAGGGGGAAAGCTATCTCTAGTCCAACAGGAATAGTAACCCTGAGAAGAAGAGCCTGGGGACAAAGATAAGGATATCAGGACCTGAAACCCTAATAGAAACAGCTGGCCATAAGCAGACAACCCATGGAGATAAAGCCTCGAGCTGACAACTGCAGAAGGCACTCTCTTTTCCAAAAAGCCTGAGCCCTTTTACTAAAAAATGATGAATATTCAACATTCTACTCTTACTAATCAATATGTATTAGCCCACTCTTATAGAAAGAGACCCCATACCTTTATAAGCCTGTGCACCCGAATCCCAAAGAGCCTTCTCCACTCACGGAGACAGACCCGCTTCTCTTTGAAGTGTATTTTCACTTTGCAATGAAGAGCTTGTAAGTGAATGCTTACTTTTGGGTGCTACTAATTCTTTAGAACCACCCCACCCCCTCCAAGAGCAAGAGGGACCAGTGAAAATGTGGCACCTGCTGCCACTCAGTCAACCTCTTCACTGACATATATGAGGGTCTCCTCTGCACCAGGCACAAAGATGGAGAAGATATGGAATCCAGTGGTTACAATGAGTCATACAAAATGACTACAAAGGAATGCCCCAAGTGGAGACGTAGGAGAGTGGGCTCTCAGCCAACTGGGAGACTGGAGAAAGGGAAGAAGCATCTCAACTATTCATTGAAGGATACGCTAGCCATGTTGGAGTCTGGAAAGGGAGAGTATTCTGGGCTCATCTGGGAAGTTTAAGAGATTTAATGGGGTTGGTATGCTGGGTGGAGTATAGATAATAGAAGGCAGTGGGAAACCAGGAAGTTGGAGGGGTCCAGATTGTGAATTATGCCACATAGAAGAGACAGAACCCAATCTTGGATTCAGTGGTGGTGGTGGTGGGAGGGCTGTGTAATGAATAACTGAAGTCTGTAGTTTAAACACATAAACTTACAGAGGCACACAAGTTAGATGGGAAGAGGAGAGAAGATGGAAGACCTGGGGCAGTGATGAATTTGTGATCTTAACCCCTGTAAAGCTTTCTCTTCCTCTTTAGTGAAATGAAGAATGTAATTGTCTCTATCTCTTAGTTATTTTGAGGTTTAATGCATTGTTGTTGTTAAGTGCCGTTGATTCGGTTGTGACCCTATATAGGGTTTCCAAGGACTGGCTGGTGAGCTTGAACCGCCGACCTAGTGGATCAAATCAACTTTGCAGTCCAGCGCATTAACCCACAGTGCCACACCCAGACTCCACACCACAGCAGACAATGCATTACAACTATGTCAAACAGCATTATGCTTGACGACAGGCAGTTCTGCGTAGTGATCAAACATACAGGTCTTTCTGCCATTCCAACCTGGGTTTATGTCCTAGTCATGTTAGGTGGCATACTTTAAATCTAGGTAAGACAGGAGGATGAGGAGGGGGGAATGATGAAAGAGAGAGGGTCTGATAGGACTTCCCATGTGGAATGTGTGAAGGGCGATGAAACCTCTGGGGAATATGGGTCCCTTACTGCAACAAATGCCAAGAAATCATCTAGCTTTGGAGGGGATGAGTTTGAGGAGGGCTGTTGTTGTTAGGTGCCATCGAGTCTGTACCGACCCATAGTGACCCTATGCACAGCAGAATGAAATACTGCCCGATCCTGGGCCTACCTCACTACTTTTGCCATGCTTGAGTCCATCGATGCTGCCACTTGGCCAATCCATCTCGTTGGGGGTCTTACTTTTTTTCTCTGACCAAACATAATATCCTTCTCCAGTGACTGGTCCCTCCTGACAATATGTCTGAAATATGAGAGACAAAGTTTGGCCATCTTGGCCTCCAAGGAGCACTCTGGCTGCACTTCTTCCAAAACGGATCTATTCGTTCTTTTGGCAGCCCATGGCACTTTCAATATTCTCTTCCAACACCAGAACTCAAAAGCATCAATTTTTCTATGGTCTTCCTTATTCACTGTCCAGCTTTCACATGCATATGAGGTTATTGAAAATACCATGGCTTGGGTCAGGCGCACCTTAGTCCTCAAACAGACATGTTTGCTCTTCAATACTTTAAAAAGGTCTTGTGCAGCAGATTTGCCAAATGCAATACGTCGTATGATTTCTTGACTGCTGTTTTCCCTGAGTGTTGATAGCTGATCCAAGAAGAATGAAGTCCTTGACAACGTCTATCTTTTCTCCATTGAAAAGAATGCTGTTTATCGGTCCAGTGGCGAGGATTTTTATTTTCTTTACGTTGAGATGTAATCCATACTGAATGTTGTGCATTCATATGGATTACATTTCACTTTCAGCAAGCAAGGTTGTATCATCTGCATATCGCAGGTTATTAATTAATCTTCCTCCAATCATGATGCCATGTTTTTCTTCATATAACTCAGCTTCTTGGATTATTTGCTCAGCACACATGTTGAATAAGTGTGTTGAAAGAATATAACCTTGCCGCACACCTTTTTTCATTTTAAACCACTCAGTGTTCCCATGTTCAGTCCAAAAAACTGTTTCTTGATCCATGTACAGATTCCTCATGAGCACAATGAAGTGTTCCAGAATACTCATACTTCACAATGTTGTCCATAGCTTGTCATGATCCACACAATCCACACATTCGGTCATGCATCCCTGCGAGTCACCAGAATGGAGGTGTGCAGACAGCGAGAGACCAATGATCAGATACTAAAAAATGAATGTCCACAACCCGAGGTTCTGTCAGGCAGCTGAGGCTGTTCTGATCCATCCCCCTCTTGATCTCTCCAAAGATGGCGGCTCCCGGAATAGTTGAGCGTCTTAATTTAGAAAGCAATGGATTTCTTGGTTCTGCTACAAATTTCCCTAGCTGTAAGCCTTCCAGTCTTCTAAATATCCCTTTATATGTGGTTCAGAGTTCTAGCACCATCCCCTGAGCCTACTTGGTCTGTTATTGTGTGTTGTTGCTGACAGAGCTCCTCACTGCACGTGTACCCCATCTGCCCTCTTGTTGCAGGTATTGGAGCATATTCACGATGCCCATGTCAGAATGATTGCCAATTCAACACCAGTTCTGCTCTCCTCTCACACCAAGGAAGAGCCAGGAGGTTCAGGTGGATGCCAGAAAAGGAGAAAGCAGAAAGAAAGGGGCTCAGCCAGATACAGGAGGGTGTTCTTGAAGCCAGCTTCAGATCCCAGGCAGGACTAGAACCCAAGAGGGCAAGCCTGGTGGCTCTAGATGTGGCAAACTTCACCAAGCAGAGAGGCAGGGAGGCTCAGGAAGGACTAGGTGGTGCTCCAGCCCCTCTGCTTCTAGGATTAAGGAATCTGAGCAGGGAGATTGGACCAGAGGGACAAGGCGGGGGTGCCAGTGTGACCTGTGAGAGAAAGAACAAGATAGCAGGAAGCTGGGAGGAGGGAGTGGGGGGTGAAGAGTGAGCAGGGGAAAGAGAAAGGGAGGGTCTGTGGGGTGGAGAGAGGAAAGAAGAAAGATAGGAGGGCTGGAGGGAGGAGAGAAGGAAGGGTGGAGAGGAGAGAGCAAGTGATAAGAACTTTTAGGGTAGTGTTGAGGCCACAGCAGGATCAGAGGGCATCTCTGCTGGGCCACTCCTGAGAGCAAGGCGCCACTGTTTGGCTGCTCAGGCTGCTGCTGATCGGAGCCTGGGGACCATGAACTTGAACTGGCGCTATGTGTACAGCCTGCTGGGCGTGCTGTGGCTGCTGCAACTACTGGTTGGGGCCGCCTTCATCATCCTCACCGCCAAGAGCGGGTTCTATGGCCCTGTGTACTTCGCACTCTTCATGTCTGCATTCTTCTGCCTGACGACCCTGACCCTCTCCTTCATCACGCTGCTTGACACATACAGGGTGGAGGTCAACGTGATTCACGTGATTCACGACCTGCTGGCGGCCTTGCTATACATCGCCTTGATGGGCATCATGATCGACCAGACGCTGCGCCAAAGTTACTGCAACTTCGAGGGTTACCCGCTGCCCTGCGCCTACAATGTCTTTCTTGGGGCCGCCGTCTGCGGAGGATTCTGCCTTGGCCTCTACTTCTTCTCGGCATGCTACCTATGTTGGGCTTTGGACCAGTAGGAGGAGGAGTGAGGCTGCAGGCTAGCAGAGGTCCCTCTGGAGAACCATGCTCCAGTCCTTCCCGGTGATGTACTTACCCTGAGGTCGTGCGCCCTGGCAGGCTCCCCATGCCCTGCGTTTTAGCTGCCTCCGGCTCCCACGAACCGAATCCAGACAGGCAGCTGCGGCCTAACCGCGACCCCCAAGTTTAAAGCGGCGACCCCCAAGTCTAAAGCGTTGCGACCCTTGCGCCCCCTCCACTGGCTCCGACAGGGCTGCAATTCGAAGGCGGACTCACCCCTTCAGACTGGCCGCCCAGAGGAGAAATATCGTGGTTCCTTCTGCCCTGCTGTGAACTAGTCATGGACAAGCTCCTCACAGATCCGGGGAGGCTCCCAAATTGGAAGCAGCCTCATGGCGGCGCCACCAAGCCCCCTCACCTGGCGTTAGAGCACTTCTTCAGGAGTTTCTTTCCATGGAGGGGAAGGAAGGCCACTGTGTGGTGGCTGCTGAAGCTGGGGACAGGCCTTGGCTGGTCTTGAGTGAGGAGTTTGGGATTGTGTGTCATTAATTCATTAGTCCCTCCTAGCACACCCCTTGGTGCTTGGATATCTTTTGATGGGGATCATCTGCAGACGTGCGGATGGATACTGAGAGCCAATGGGCAGTACCTCTTGCACCTTTGAAGTCCTCTCTCACCTCTGCCTGGCCAGACTTTTTTCAAACACATATCACTAACTTCCTGCATTTAGTGATAGGAGACCCTTCTTAGCCTTCTTCTCAAAGGCATCTCTTTGATACAGTCCCTTAACTGCTATCTGTTTGCATTAAAGACCTTTCCCCAGGGCCTGGACCATCATGAAATGTTAGGGTAAGGACCCCCAACCCTTTTTTTAATAGATAGGAACCCCTGTCCTGCTCTTGGGAGCAGCCGGAACAATATTAGTTTGTTGTTGTTGTTAAGTGCCGTCCAGTGGGTTCCGAACCATAGCGACCCTTTATAGGATTTCCCAGGAGTGACTGGTAGGTGAGTTTGAACCACAGACATTGCAGTTCAGACGGGATTGCAGTCTGGTTCATTCTAAGATTGTGCAGCTCTGTTTACTTCATAGCAGTGGATGTACCTAGAACCCTGCCCCAGGACATGCCTTCCTAAAAGAGGGTTTAGATCAAACAGGATTGCCAATATAGCATCATTTCAAGACCAAAGGGGGCTATATCTCCTCATCTTGGATATTCAAGGTTCTCCTTAGCATATCAAAGGCTCTGAGAAGTGACACTGTAAAAGCCACAATATTAACTAACTTTGTTAATAGTATTAATTGTCTCTGGGCCTGGACTGTTTTCCCAGCTTAAGATTCCAAGCATCCTGTGTTTCCCTGACCCAGCCCATTGGCATTTGTCTATGAAGATTGGGGAGCGTGTTTTGTTCCCAGAGACTTTCTCTAACTGAGGGTGACAGCCCTCCTACCAGGCCAGTGAGAAAGACCATACATGGAGACCTGGGATTTGGTGGATTTGAACATCCTTTTATACAACTTGGAGTCCTGGTGTAGTGCTGCAAGATACAGCACTGGACCACAAGGTTAGCTTGAATCACAAGGTCAGTGGTTCAAATTCACCGGCTGCTCCTTGGAAACAGGGTCTCTATGTGTTGGAATTAAAATCTACTGTACTTATCAACAATAACATTACACAACTTGGGATGGTTTCCCAGTCAAAAGGAACTTCACTTTGTAAGAGATCACCTAAGAGAGGAGAAGACTCTGGAGCTGGGGTGAGCAGCTGGCCACGTCCCTGGATGGTAAGATACTTCCTGGTTTTCTGGAAGGGATCATAGAGCTTTGACCAAAAAACACAAAGCCCACCTCATTTTCCAAAAGTTAAAAGGTCTTAATAAAGAGAATAAGTTAGAAGGGTAAAATAGTTAACACGATGTTTAGAGAGCTGTGAAATGCCATCTTTTGCTAGATCCTTAAAAGGTTTCTGCTCTTTGATAAAGTCCCACCCTCTGGTTTATAAACTGGAATAAACCACACCCATTGCTGTTGGGTCAGTTCAGGTTTATAGTGACCCTATACAGCGGAGTAGAACTGCCCCATAGGGTTCCCAGGACTTTTCAGAAGCAGACTGCCGGGTCTTTCTTCTGGAGTCAGATGTGGGTTTGAACCACTGACCTCACAGCACCACCTTTTGTTGGTGTTGTTAAGATCCTTAAGGTCGGTTCTGACTCATAGCAACCCTGTATAGGATTTCCAAGGAATGGCTGGTGGGTCTGCTGACCTGGTGCTTCAAACTGACCTTACAGTCCAGGATATTAACCCCCAGCACATACCAAGAGTCCTACCACAGGGGAGTCCAAAATGTTCTTCTTGTGACTATGTATTTAAAATAAAACTTACGTGAGGAGGTGTTAGTTTCTGTGTTGTGGTTGTGAAGGTGTAGAGCACTTACATTGTTGTTGTTGATAAGTGTTGTTGAGTTGGTTCTGACTCATAGTGACCCTATGTACAAGCTCTGAGGAGCACCTGGTAGGTTTGAACTCCCAACCTTGTGGTTCACAGTCCAGTGTTAATCCTATAGTGCCACACCAGAATTCCAGAACACTTGTATCAAGTTTTAAACATCATCATCATAGCATTTATCTGGAGTCCTGGTGTGGCGCCATAGGCTAATGTGCTGGACTGCAAAGTCACTTTGAACCACAAGGTCAGTGGTTCAAGCTTACCAGCCGCTCATGGGAAACCCTATACAGTGTTGCTATGGATCGGAACCTACTCTATGGCACTTAACAACAATGACAGCATTTACCTAGCCTGGCATGGCTCAAAGTACTTTACATCCTTACATGTATTCATATCATTTTCTCAATAAGCCCATTGAGGTAGATTTTATTATCCAAATGAATCACAGAAAGGTTCCCTGACTTGTACCATCATTCTGACCCAGGACAGTGGAAGGTTTGAGTCTTCATTGGCCACTGAGGGTGGTGGCAGGGAGAGAACTCCTGCTTAGTAGCTTCCCTTCACACTGACTCCCCACTATCCATGGAAGAACCAAGATGGATGGGGACTCATTTTGCCTTACACCCAGGGGCTTCCTCCTGGTTCCCCTTGTGCCACGACTCGGGTACAAGATTCTAGACATCTGGCACTGTGTTCTCTGCCCTTGAGCACTAAACAATGGGGTTTTAGCTCCAGGCTTCATTGTTTGTTCTCACCTCTCTTTTTAGATCATTGAAGTTGTATCCTCAGCTGGGGCCCAATCCTCCAGAGCTTCCTCCAGAGCCTGGGGTCAGGGGACCTCACTCAGGAGCAGAATCTCCTTGGTCTTTACTGTGCCTCATCCATTCTGATGTGCCTGTAACATTGCCTGTAACTTTCTGATGTGCCTGTAACATGGACCAGTCTAGACATGCCTTTCCACGTGGCCTCCTGCGGCTTGACAGTCCTTCTGTTGTCCAGATGTGAGACTGTGTAAGAAGACTGCATTAACTCCCTACTGAGGCCTCATGCCAGAGGTATAGCCAGCTGACCCGGCCACAATATTTGGATACAGTTTCATAAGCCATCCTCTTTGAACACCAGGACCTTGTCCAGCCCAAGAACATGCTGGGCAGCATCCAGCTCAGAACTCTGGGACTATGTGCAGACCAGAAGAGGATTTCTACAGTGTCCTATGAGGGCCAAAAGAGGCAAGAGAGTGGGCAAGATGTAGTGTCCGATGTGCCTCACTTAGTAGTTAGTGGTGATTACTAATCTGCTTTTCTGAATAAACTTTGATTTGTCCGAGTTGTGTGTTGTGGGTCTTCTGCAGTGACCCTCTGTGCCAAGTGCCCCAACCTCCCTCCATCTTATGCCAGGCTGCCCTGCTTGTTTGCTGCCCTGCTTGTTTGCCCCTTCTCTGACCCACCCCTCTGGTCTGAGACCCAGTCCCTCTTGGTGGGGAAGAAAGATGAGTTCACAGGTTCCCAGTGCAGTTAGGGGCAGGAGACACAGGTGTCCTGAGGCAGGAATCAGGGGGAGAAGACTGCCTGTGTCCTCCCTGACAGGCTGGAGGCAATTCCAGAGGCTCCTCTCCCAGTTCTCAATGGACCCTCTGTTTGGGAAGCCCCGTTCCCTGACAGGCATGTAGAGAATGACTGTGGTCTTGAAGCCAGAGGGGCTCATTCTCATCAAATCCCATCAGTTTATAGGAGGGGAAACCAAAGTGCAGGATGGGGTGGCAACACTTGCCTAATGTCACACAGCTGAGAATGAGCATAGTGCGGTCTCCTGGTGCTCAGACCCTGGTTGCTTTCTATGGCCCATAGTGTCTGCTCTGGGGTTGTTCCCTGGATCACAACCCACCTGTGTTTCCCCCATGTCCCAGCCAGACTTGGCCTGGTGACTGTGATGCCCTAGAAGGGGTTTGGGGGCAATTAGCAGTCCTTGCTGGGTTCTGGCTCTCCTAGGCCCTGGGTTTGGGGTCTGAAGTCTGTAGCCAGGAAATTAGATTCTCCTGTCAGCTGTGAAAACTCATGTGGAACAGCTCCACACTGGGATGCTGAGAGTGTTCCATGCCTGTTCTATCAAAGTACCCTCCCCAATGTGAAAACACACAATACCATCCTTTATGTGGTTTGGGATTTTCAGGGTGGATGGAAATACCAGCTGCTGAGACCTCTCCCTCACTCCCCTCTTCCATTTATCAAAAAATTTCACACTAAATAAAAAAAAAAATGGTTCCCATTTTTACAAACACTGGTAATTTACTATTCTCATTTCCTTTAGCTTGGTGGAGATTTTACAACTGAAAATGTCCTTT